TTTATAAGAAAATTTCCAGTCCTACATGGTCTTGCTATTAAGATGTGAGAAAACCTCAAAATAAATAAGCTGAGAGTACTCAACATAAGCACTTAGAAAAAAAACCCACAAAAATACATTAATAAAACCCTCAGGGAGTAGTAATCAATACAAATAAAACAAACGCATTATACGTGTGTGCGTGGTGTGTGTGTGTGTTTGTGATATGTACAAGGAGAGTATAAATAAAGTGAATGGCTGATCCTTTGAAATGATCAGTTACATAATGAACTAGCAAATCTGATCAAGGAGATAGAAAGAAAGAAATGCAGTATTAGGAATGAGGAGATACTATCAGTAGAGGGGATATTCCATTAAATATTATTTCTAGTAGAATACTATGTGCAACTCCGTAGCAACATTTAAATATGGAGGTGAGGGGCTCCTGTGTGGCTCGATCAGTTAAACATCTGACTTTAGCTCTGGTCAGGACCTGACCTCTTGGAATAGAGTTGGAGTTGGACTCCCCGCTCATCAGGGAGTTTGCTTGTCTGTCTTTTTCTACCCCTCCCCCTGCTAGTGTTCTCTCCCACTCTCTCTCCAATAAATAAAGTCTTTAAAAATAAATAAATAAAGAGGTGAAACAGGTGCTTCCACAGCAAAATATAAACTAACAAAATTAATGTGAAAAAAAGAAACAACAAAAGAAACCCTAAGTGATCAGTGAGCAGAAATTGAGAAGTTTGTGTGTGCATTATTTTAAAAGACTCTAGCTCTCTGTGCTATTTTTTGCAATGCCCCGTGAACCTATAATTATTTCAAAGTAAAAACTAAAGTACAAAAAAAGACACCAGGATGAAATTGACTTCATATGGAGTGCGATTTAACTTTTTTTTTTTTTTTAGAGTATTTCTATACTTTCTAAATAGTTCCAGACTAGGGGTTGGCAAATTATGGGCTGCAGGTCAAATCTGGTCCATAGCTTGTATTTGTAAATTAAATTTTATTGGAAAACAATCATGTCCATTCATTTACATATTGTCTATGGCTGCCTTTGTTACAAGTTTGTCAATCCCTGTTTCAAACAATAGGAAGAACTGGGAATATTCCAAATTCATTTTATGAAGCATTATAACCTCACCTTAGAAAAATATAGTCTTCATACAAACAAGCAGTTACCTGCAGATTATTTTATCCTCCAGATGCTAAGATCTTAAATAAAATATTAGCAATTTGAATCCAGCAAGTACCAAAACCAAATTAACCACATGACTGAATTGGATTCTCAGGTGAGACAAAGACAGTTAATGTTAGTACAGTTACCAGGTTTTTAAAAATTATATCAACAAATTCAAAGGAAAAAATCACAATCGTATCAGTGGCTATAAAAAGACATATGACACCATTCAGCAGTAATTCTCAAACTAAAACAAGACTAGAAAGAAACTATGAAAATTCAGCAAAGATCGTAGTTTCGAAATCACCAGGAAGCACAATACTAAAAGCTAAAATGCTGAAGATGTTTCTATTAAAACTAGTGACAGGATGGGGGTTGTTCCTATCACAACAGTGTTTTGAAAGCTCTAGCCGATTTAATTAAATAAGAAGATGAAATAAACTGGTTAAATATTGAGAAGGGAGAGCAAATCATTTTTAGTCGTAGGTCATAGCATTGTATATTTGGAAAATTAGCATAAGGAATTTCGGTTAAGGTGGTGGGGTACAAGAAAATGACAGCAGATTGAAACATATGGAAAGGAAAAAAATCTGGGTCTAATAATGACAACAAACACAAAACTCCTCTAAAAATCCCACAAAGTACAAGAATGGCACTGGACTAGGAATAAGAAAGCTAATATTTATAATTCAGAGATATAATACAAAACTTAAGCACATGGAGAGAATATTCCTGGACAGAAATATAGTAAAATAAAAACATCGCTGCTTCAGTGTTAACCCTGTTGAGGTAATGAAATGACAAGAAAAATTCCAATTCTTTTCCAGCTTGGTAAAACAATTTCAAACTCTGCATGGAAATATAAAAAGCCAAGGAAATAGAGCACCTGGGTGGCTCAGGTGGTTAATCATCTGCCTTTGGCTCGGGTCATGATCTTGGGGTCCTGGGATTGGGCCCTGGATCAGGCTCCCCGATCAGCGAGGACCCTGCTTCTCCCTCCGCCACTCCCCCTGCTTGTGTTCTCTCTCTATTTTCAATAAATAAATAAAATATATTTTAAAAACCCAGGAAAATTATGTAAAGAAATTGTCCAGACATTGATCTTAATGCATTTGGGAACAGATACGACATCAGTGAGGTTCAAATGAGGGAGTACAAGGAAGTTCATTATGTAAAAATCAGGGGAAGAGAAGAGGAATAAACAAAGGACATGGGAATGCACAGAAGGAATCTAAGGCCCATTTATCTAGAAAAGATGCTCAACTCATTAATAGGTGAAAAAAGTCAAACAGAACTAGATATAATTATTCATCCCTCAGAATGATAAAAAAAAATGAAAAAGAACAGCATTCAGTGCTGGAGAGCATTTGGGAAAATGGGGTATCTATACACTGCTGGTGTGAATATTTCATATACTTTATATATATATTGAGTATGTAATATATATTATATACATATATGTATCTAATATAATGCATATAACATTTTTGAGAGTCATTTGGCAATATCTAATTCAAAAATACACACACCTAAGGGCTCCTGGGTGGCTCAGTCGGTTAAGGGTCTGGATCTTGATCTCAGCTCAGGTCTTGATTTCAGGGTCCTGAGTTCCAGCCTCGGTTGGGTTTGAAGCCCACTTTAAAAAAAAAAAGTACACACACCTGTATCTAATAAGATGCACATACAGAAAAACTGACACGAGCAAAGAGAAATACACAAAATCACCATCACACTGCCCTCTAGAGAGCAAACAGGTGAAAAAAATCAGAGAGGGTATACAAGTTTTGGACAGCGGATCTAACAACTGGAGAACACATAGTCTTTTAAAGCAATAGATGGAACATTTATGGAAAGATGCAAAGGAGTTCACCATAAGACAAGTCTCCACTTGTTTCAAGGAACATTCATGACACAATTCACATTATCTGACCACTGAGAGATTAGATTAGAAATCAGTAGAAGGGGACACCTGGGTGGCTCAGTGGGTTGGGCCGCTGCCTTCGGCTCAGGTCATGATCTCGGGGTCCTGGGATCAAGTCCCGCATCGGGCTCTCTGCTTGGCAGAGAGCCTGCTTCCCTCTCTCTTTCTCTCTGCCTGCCTCTCTGCCTACTTGTGATCTGTCAAATAAATAAATAAAAATCTTTAAAAAAAAAAAAGAAATCAGTAAAAGATTAACTGTTTATTGCAATTAGAAACGAGCTTCAAAATGGCACGTGTGAAATGAAAGGAACCATCCTCGAAATTAAAAAAATATTTGGAAATGAATAATAATACCCTATAGCGAATCCTATGGGTCTTAGATGGAAATGTATGGCCTTAATGCTTAAAATTAGAAAAAGTAAGGCTGACTAATAATTAGCTGGGCATCTGATCTAAAAGATCCCAACACTGAATCCACAGAAACCCCATCACTGACACTAATGGCCCCCATCACTCAGGCTACAGTACCCAGATAGGCAGCTACTGCAAAACCATCAGCACACGCCCTGGAGAACCTCTTCCATTCTGAATTCTGGCCTCTAACACCGTGGGGTCTATGGGAGAAATGGGTGGGGGGTGGTGTCTCATGTCCAAGCTCAAAAGCACTTGTGAAACTGCATTCCACAGTCAACAAGGTGCAGTTACTTACTGGCTGTGAAAGCTTCCTTACCATCCCCAGTTCTGTTTGGCTCAGAATAAGGGTGCAGTAGAATGAATGGCTGCCATCTTGGAAGACAGTCAATGCCATAAGGTGGAAAAAACTTGCCTCCTGTGTCAATGAGAAAAACAGCGGGGCTGCCCTGGGAAGGAATTGCCCATCTTTCTTTGAGTAGACCTCTTGGTAGACAGGAGACTCTGGAGTTCGGGTCTGGAGTTCAACTTCTGGAGATGCTAAGGGGCTCCAAGGGACGTAGTGAGTAGTGGGCAGGCAAGGCTAGGTAGGGAGAGACAGGTAGGAGGAAAGGAAAGCAGGGTCAGGCAGGGGGTTATGTAACCAGGCTCCCAGAAATCCCAGATGTGGAGATATTTTACATGAATACCTTGTTTGTTCTCATGATAGTTTTAAGTCCACCAGCTGTGTTCTAAATATAGACATGATAGTCACAAATCCACCATGATATTGACAAGAAATTTACCAAGTTTCCTGGTCAGTTTCCTATAAAAGACAGACCATAAAAGCCCTCAGTGGCAACCCATTGGGGACCCCTCTCACTCTAGAGGGCTTTCCTTTTTGTTCTCACCTCCCGTTAATAAACTTTTCACTTCACTTCACCCTACCGCATCACTTCACCCTGTTGCTCATGAGATGCATTCTTAGACAATGTGAGACAAGAACCCTGCAACAATAGGAAAGGGGAGTCATTACTAATGACAAGAGAAAGAATGAGAACCCTAAATGAATCTGAGAGCTGTCTTTGGAAGAGAGGGGAGAAATGCCACAACAGTACCTTCCCCTGGGTGATACTATAGAATGTGCTAGAAAGGACGCAGTAGGAGCAGTATAGTCCCCCACCCACCAGAGGAAGAAAAGGCTGAGTGGTAGCATCCAGTCCCACCACCTTGGGCTGGGGCATGCGGGCCTGTTTTAGTATATGTGCTGTGGAGGCCAGCACAGCGGGGGAGAGGCCCTAAACCTGCCCATAATCTCAATCAGCCCCCACGCTGGCCAAGCCACCTCAACTAAAATAAAAATAGGTATCAATAAAAATAAGTTTTACATTGATATGTCAAGGGTGGTTTTCTCTGTCTAATGTAATGTGTTAATAACAGCGTTTTCTAGATCACTCTATTATTCATAGCTCCTTATAAAACTAAAGCTAGCCCTCCTCTCAAGCTTCTGCCCGGGGCGGCCGCACGGGAGGGAGGCTGAGATGGCAGATGAGATCGCCAAGGCTCAGGCCGCGCGGCCTGGTGGCGACACAATCTTCGGGAAGATCATTCGCAAGGAAATCCCAGCCAAAATCATTTTTGAGGATGACCAGTGTCTTGCTTTCCATGACATTTCCCCTCAAGCACCAACTCATTTTCTGGTGATACCCAAGAAACATATATCCCAGATTTCTGTAGCAGAAGATGATGATGAAAGTCTTCTTGGACATTTAATGATTGTTGGCAAGAAATGTGCTGCGGATTTGGGCCTGAAGAAGGGTTATCGAATGGTGGTGAATGAAGGTTCAGATGGGGGACAGTCTGTCTATCATGTTCATCTCCGTGTTCTTGGAGGTCGGCAGATGAATTGGCCTCCTGATTAAGCTTGTTTTAGGGATGATTTTCCCTCCTCGAGGCAGTGGTCAATATTTCCCAGTTCTGCAGGTTAAACAATGTACTTCCTTTTGCCTATGTATGGAGAGATTGAGGAAATAATTTTTAAAATCCATACATAATAAAAGGCAATGTAGCATGATTTACAAAAAACAAAAAACAAAAAACAAAAAACTAAATCTAAGTAATAACTACGCTGGTGCAGCATCACCACAAATTTTCAACATTGCCTCACAATGAGTCTGCTGCCCGGTAGCACCTCAAATATGGAAATTAGGGAGATACCATTGCCCCTTCAGGGAATCCATCATAACTCTTCAATGGTTGAACCGCTACTCATTCTTCAAAACCCTGCTCACATACCCCTTATGGGAAGCCCTTCCTGACCGCAGTAGGAGAGTCCATGCCCGCTGAAGGCCGTGCTGATCTAGCAGCTGGGGAGAGCTTTTTGAAAGGGCCTGGGCCAGGGTGCTTAGATGGTTCAGTCCGTTAAGTGCCTGGCTCTTGATGTCAGGGCTGTGAGTTCAAGTCTCACAAGTCTAAAGACGTTCCTCGCATTAACGTCAATTTTGTTAGGTGTGACGATGGTACTGTGATTACGTTAATTGTGCATTATGTAATATATCTGCACATACATTATGATGCCGGCACATGAATATAATAATTCTCAACAAACAAATGAACATGCAAGAAAAAGGAACAATGTCAAATTTTTACAGAAAAGAAAAAATATTTCTTTACAATGAGGAAATTAAACTTAGCCATTACCACACAGAGGATACATAGAAACATGTTTCCAGACATGACTCACTGAGAGAGACAAATCACCCAGGCAGATTTCTTTCCCAGGCTGTTCGACCTGAATCTATTCATGAGGAAACAATTAGAAATGCAGAACCACCTACACCACAATTGGTAAACTCTCTTCAAAATTATCAGGGTTGTGACAGATGAAACAGGCTGGGAAAATGCTCTTAGATTAGAGAGAGATGAGAGACTAAAGAGGTGTGATGCCATGAATGATCCCAAATGCCAGGCATGAACCCTATTTGAATTTGGGATTTAAAAGTTGTAAAGAAATTTGAGGATAATTAGAAACATTTGAATTTAGAATGAACACTATTATTTTATCATTGTTAAATTTCTCTTTTTTAAGATTTTATTTATTTATTTGAGAGAGAGAGAGAGAGAGAGAGAGAATGCACATGAGCCAGGGGAGGAACAGAGAAGCAGACTCCCCGCTGAGCAGGGAGCCCGATGTGGGGCTTGATCCCAGGACCCTTAACAACTGAGCCACCCAGGCACCCCCACTGTTAAATTTCTTAAGTGTGGTAAGGTTTTCAGAAGGAGTTAGGGGAGGTGATGGAAATGCCTGAAACTTAATCGTGGTGGTGGTCATACAAATCTGTACATGTATTCAAATTAGTGAACTGTACACCAAGAAGTTATTTTACTATATGATAATTTTTAAATAAAATTGAAAGTCAGAGTGCCTGGGTGGCTCAGTCAGTTAAACATTTGACTTTGGCTCAGCTCATGATCTCAGGGGCCTGGATTGAGCCTCACATCGGGTTCCCTGCTCAGCGGGAAGTCTGCTTCTCCCTCTCCCTCTTCCTCTGCCCCTCCCCTCACTCACATGTGTGCACGCACACGTGCACTCATGCTCTCTCTCTCTCTCAGATAAATAAATAAAATCTTTTTTAAAAATTGAAAGTCGTATCTCAGATTTCTTAGATGTGGGAATGGGCTTGTGGCTATGCAAAAAAAAAAAAAAAAAAAATCCCGTTCTTAGGCGTGTGGAAATATCCAAAGATGACCCAAATGGGGACAGAGACTACAGAGATTTCTACAGCAAGGGAGGTGGTCAGCATCACCTAGGAAAGCTTTATAGTGAAAATAAGAAAGACTTCAGGTATGCCCTGTGGAAATGAATGAAGACAAACAAAATGAGAAAAAGCAAAGGCCATTCATTCTGAGCTTCCTTTAACAAGGACGTCAGACACTGTCATTTGCCTTTTGGCAGAGACAGAGGAGTGGACACGCTTTACAGTAAAAAAAAAGAGGGGAGAAGGCTTCAGATATCCCCTAATTGAAAAAGCTGTTGGCTTTCTAATAGAAGCAGGACATCCTAGGTGATTGGTTTGGGGAGCAGATTTGGTTTTCTCTGGTTGGACATGAGTTGGAAGTGGAGAGTGGGGGCAAAAAATGAGGAGGCGGGTCGTCCTTGAGCAAATCCTGGCCATCTAGACACATTGCTATAGAGGCAATGGTTTGGTTTCTCGGGATTGTTGCTAGAGGTTGTAGGTCAGAGTTCTATTGTCATAATACAGTTGACCCTTCAACAATGTTGGGCTTGGGGTCACTGCCTGCCCCCCAACACACGCAGTGGAATAACTTTTGATTTCCCCCAAATGTAACTACTAATAGCCTACTGTTGACTCAAAGCTTTACTGATAACGTAAATAACTGATGAACACATATTTTGTGTTCTATTATGTACTGTATTCTTAAAATAAAGTAAGCTAGAGAAAAGAATGTATTAAAATCATAAGAGAAAATACATTTGCAATACTGTACTGTATTTATAAAAAAATTCTGCCTGTAAGTAGACCTGTGTGGTAAAAACTCCTTTGTTCAAGCGTCCTCTGTATACAGTCTGGCCATTGTCCATTTGTATGTCTGGTCACTTAGGAGCTACATGCTGAGTATTTGGTTTTCAAAGAGCATGATGTCTATAGTTTACTGTAGAAAGGTATTATAAAACAAACATACTGGAGTCCTCTTTTTCTTTCTTTTGCTATCTATCCTTCCCCCTCCCGCATGAACTTGGACTAGTGGATAAACCACAAGGCTTACAAAACAATTCTCAGAAGGTACTGTTCTGATGGTCTGGGGCTCTGATCGAGAAAGGGACTCAAAAACTAGAACAAACCTTTAAGGGTGAGTTTCTCTTAAGGTTAAAAAAAAAACAAAAAACTGTCACCTAAGCCCAGACTGCAAAGACACATATCCAACTTTCCCCTATAAAAACCCTAAGCCAGTTTCAGTCCGGGGTCGGCCGTGGGGTTACCTGATGCCTATTAGCTGAATACAGCCTTTAACCTCTACTTCAGTTACTTAAATAATTTTCTTTGGACACTTATTTATTTATTTATGACTTTTTTTTTAATTTATTTTTTATTTTATTTTATTTTAAATAAAAAAATTATTTTTATTTTTATTATAAACATATAATATATTTTTATCCTCAGGGGTACAGGTCTGGGAATCACCAGGTTTACACACTTCACAGCACTCACCCCAGCACATACCCTCCCCAATGTCCATAACCCCACCCTCCTCTCCCAAACCCCCTCCCCCCAGCAACCCTCAGTTTGTTTTGTGAGACTATGAGTCACTTATGGTTTGTATGACATTATTTTTAAAATGATGGGGCCTGGATGTATGTACAGAAGAGATTATGCAAATGTGACAAAAGTTAACAGTTGTTACACCCAGGGGGAGGGCATTTGGATGTTCGTAGTACAATTCTTTTAGCTTTTGTGTAGTGTAAAAATTTTCCATTAAAAATTTGGACCTGGGTGGCTCAGTCGGTGAAGCGTCTGCCTTCAGCTCAGGTCATGATCCTAGGGTCCTCGAATCCAGTCCTGCATCGGGCTCTCTGCTAAGCAGGGTACCTGCTTCTTCTTCTCCCTCTGCCATTCCCTCTGCTTGTGCTCCTGGCTCTCTCTCTCTCTTTGTCAAATAAATAAATAAATAAAATCTTTAAAAACAAACAAAAAACAACAACAAAAAAACCCCATTGGGTGCAAAATAAATAAGCTATCATTGCCTTCTGCCTCCTGACATGTGTAAAGGGTTGTGGCTGTTGGTCCAAACGTCCCTGCTTAGCCATTGAACCTGATGCTTTTATGAGGTTTTCCTTTACCTCTGTCAGTGGAAGATAGATAATATTTTTACCATATTGTAAGATATTTCTCATCTACTAAAAGAAGATGGCATGCAAAACAAGGCTGATCAGAAGACTGTGGATACCATTCTCTGCATTTACCGTAGGACGAAGAGGTGTTCATCATTCTGTCCTTAGCTGCAGATGGGCAAATATTCTGACCTTGCAGTCTTCCTTGTTTTCAACTGGTTGCCAGGGTAAATATGAAGATTCACAACTGGCCTGCTCCAGGATTCCGCACAGTCAGTTGTAGAATTATTTTTTTAATTTTATTTTACTTTATTTTTTTCTTTAAAGATTTTATTTATTTGTCAGAGAGAGAGCGTTGGAGCACAAGCAGGGGGAGCAGCAGGCAGAGGGAGTAGAAGTCTCCCCGCTGAGCAAGGAGCCTGATACAGGACTTGATCCCAGGATCCCGGGACCATGATCTGAGCCAAAGGCAGATGCTTATCTGACTGAACCACCCAGGCATGCCCAGTTGTAGAGTTTAAAAGGAGACTCTGATCTCTCTATTTGGAGTGGCAGCTCCTCTCCCCCAACATTTCTAACTCCCATTACTGTCCCATCTACCCCCGTTAGCAGTTATCAACTTTTTTTTTATTTGACAGAGAGAGAGAGAGAGAGAGAGAGATCACAAGTAGGCAGAGAGGCAAGCAGAGGGAGAGGGAGAAGCAGGCTCCCAGCTGAGCAGAGAGCCCGATTCGGGGCTCGATTCCAGGACCCTGAGATCATGACCCGAGCTGAAGGCAGAGGCTTAACCCGCTGAGCCACCCAGGCGCCCCAGCAGTTATCAACTTTTGACAAACAGTGTTTTTTTTTTTTAAAGATTTGATTTATTTATTTGACAGACAGAGATCACAAGTAGGTGGAGAGGCAGGCAGAGAGAGAGGCGGAAGCAGGCTTCCCGCTGAGCAGAGAACCCCACTCGGGACTCGATCCCAGGACCCTGAGATCATGACCTGAGCCAAAGGCAGAGGCTTAACCCACTGAGCCACCCAGGCGCCCCGACAAACAGTGTTTATTGCCCTCTTCCCCACTAGGATGTTGGGCTCATGAAGCCAGGAGTTTGGGGTCTGTCTTTTTTACCGACTACCAAGTACCAAGAGCAGTGACTGGTCATCAATAAATATTTGATGGATGAACAAATAGGGTCTTAAATACTTACAAGTTCTCCATCTCTATAGC